AGGAAGGAAGGAAGGAAGGAAGGAAGGAAGGAAGGAAGGAAGGAAGGAAGGGAGAAAGCCAGAATCAGATGGGCAGGAAGATAAAAAAGAAGAGACTTTGTCTGTTAATGTAGCCTTACAATAAGATAGAATTATCTTGTCATTTATCCTGTCTGGGAAACTGACAACATCTCACAAGTCTGAAAGTACAAATCTCCCACCTTCTCTTTTTACCACCTGATACGTTAGTGCAGATCCTTTCTAAGTTTCTTTCTCTGCCCATTATTCAGCTGTGGCTAACTCCCCTTTGATCTGATCATTCAGAATCTCTTTCCCTGGTTCTCCCAGGGTTTTCTACCTACCAAATATTGCAACTAGAAAAGGTGTCTTAGAGGCTCACAAAAAGGTATTTTTCCAGTCCAGCTGCAGGAAAAAAATGTTGAACAAGAGAGGCAGAGGAATCCTCCAAGGGTCTTCTGCATGTTTCTATCAGAAGCTCCAGGCCTTCTCTGCCTCGTTCTCCCACAGCAACAGGTCTGTTGCTGTGGAATGCCTTGGTAAGGCCACCCTTGGAATCATGCATCCAGTTTTGCTTGCCACAATGTAAAAAAGATGCTGAGACTCTAGAAAGAGGTCAAAGAAGAGCAACCAGGATGATTAGGGGACTGGAGGCTAAAACATACAAAGAATGGTTGCTGGAACTGGATATGTCTATTTAATGAAAGGAAGGACTAGGGGAGACATGACAGCAGTGTCCAATATTTGAGGGGCTGCCACAAAGAAGAGGGAGTCAAGCTATTCTCCAAAGCATCCGAGGGCAGAAAAAAGAAGCAATGGGTGGAAACTAATCAAGGAGAGAAGCAACTTAGAACTAAGAGAAATTTCCTGACAGTGAGAACAATTAATCAGTGGAACAACTTGCCTCCAGAAATTGTTGAACACTGGAAGATGTTGGACAGTCATTTGACTGCAATGGTATAAGGTTTCTTGCCTGAGCAGGGCAAGAACTAGAAGTCCTCTAAGGTGCCTTCCAACTCTGCTATTCTATTCCATTCCATTCCATTCTTTTTTCAATTCCATTCCATCTGATCCTTTCTCACCTGGTTGATTGAGATTGGTGTCTGTACGACGACTCCGCCAATGATTTCAGTCTTATATGGTTGCCTTCCCGCGTCTGTAGCTAGTGACAAACTTCCATGCTTTGGTACCTAATGAAGAAAATAGGATGAATTATTGTAGTAAGAGATGATCCAGCTGAGTTCAAAGGTGGGGTCAACCGATCTTGAGCTTGGAGTCAATACACATTCACAAGAGACAAATCCATCCCCCTATGAATTCTATTGACTCTTAATTAGCACCAATTTGTCTTGACTATGAGTAGATCAGATTCTTGTGTATAGTTAGCATGAAATAAATTTGTAACAGTTTTGAACTCTATCCTGGCTCCTAGTTTATTGCAAGTTTACATCAGATGCCCCAAACTAATCAGTGGCAATTCAGAATCTGCAAGCATCTTTCTCCATCTTTCCTATGTCTTGTTTTCTCAGCAATGGTGCTGTTCCAATTGCTAGAGATGTCTGAAAGAAGCCAGAGTCATTGTAAATGCTCTGAAATAGAAGGAACCATGAAAATTCAGTTAGATGCTCCATTCAGATTCCCGTGGCCTTCCTTTTCACTGGCTGAAATACTGGCACATATACAGACAAGAAGTAACATTTGTTTTCCTGCCAAAATAGCATTATGTGCTTTTGAAACAAGATCTAATCATTTTGCTCATCTACAAAGGTGGGACAAGAAGGATTTCTGCAGTAGGTTTAAAGGTTTANAAAAAAAGGCCAAGAGAACAGAGACCACATTCTTGGTGTTTTTTTTTTCTTGTTTTGAAGTTGGGGCAGAATATTTTTCCCAAGAGAATAACAATCAGCAATTATAGAGAAGAAAGAGCACGAGGAAGAGGCAAAATAAGAATGCAAGGCGAGTGGAGGAAAAAAAACCTCACAGATTGGGTTCCAAAAAATGGGGAAAAAGATAGTAAAAACAAGTCCTTTGCCATCTAGTTTTGCTTCAACGAGGGGTTGAATAAAAAGAGATACTTGAGGGTACAGCTTTGATCTTTATCACCTGCTACTTTGAAGACGTAAGTGGATTTTTCTTCAATTACAAAAGTGCTTCATGCTTTTTAATAATTCCTGCTCCCCAGATACCAAGAGACAGACACAATGCACCACTGTGTGACCCACGTTGCGTAGCTGGCTCTCTCGATCAAGACATCAGGCTCCCAGGCCTAGGAAGATCCATAACAAAGCCCCTTCTGTCTTAGCCAACTTAGGCCTAACGCTCTAGACAGTGGAAAGAGCCAAACAGACACACACACACTTAGACACCATCTAGCAGTCCAAGATGATAACACTTGCCCCTTGTAAAGGACAAGGCAAATGTAGCATCAAATGCAGATGCTCACAGCCAGCCTGCCAGGATTTGAACTTTCCAAAACAGAGATGGGGAAAAAAGAAGGACCGATGAGGAGAAAATTGGGCTGGCAAGTGGGGTGAAAAAAGAGGTTGAGGGAAAAAATGAGGGAAAATATGTAGAAAATATGTAGGGGAATTCTGTTGCATCAAGATCCACCATCTTGATTTTTTTTCACGCACGCCCCATGGAGACAGCTTGTTGGGAAGTTGCCATGAAGATGATTTGCTTGGGAAACTTCTTTAAAAGGTTTTATGACACAAAGTGACGCAGGTATAGATTGGTGACTTCAACTTTTGATGGATAGAATGGATAGAAAGATGGAAGGAGAGGGAGAGGGAGAAAGGAAGGAAGGAAGGGAGAAGGAGGGAGGGAGGGAGGGAAGGAAGGAAGGAAGGAAGGAAGGAAGGAAGGAAGGNTAAAGCAGTATATAAGTCTAAGTGCTATTGCAATTGACTCATCCTTCCATCCGTCTGAGGTGGGTAAAATGAAGATCCAGATTGTTGGGGGCAATAGGCTGACTCTGTAAACCTCTTAGAGAGGGCTGTAAATCATTGTAAAGTGGTATATACTGTAAGTCTAAGTGCTATTACTATCTCACAAAGCCTGAAAGGTAAAGTCTCCTTCAAGTCAAGCCTAACTACTAGTGACATCACCTTCATGGTTACAAAATGGAAGTTTCCTTTTTTTCATGCCTTTCCTTCAGCTACCTCTGTCCTCAACTGCTTTGAAACTCATTGAATTTGATATTCAACACATTTTGACGTCAAAATTTTGTCCCAGAAATCATTGTTCGTTTGGTATTCAACACACAAGCTAAAACCTGTCAGTGTTGGCTGCCTTGTGAGTCACTAACTTATTCCTTATGGGAAAATTTTGTTTGGTACTTATGGTTTTTGATACTCATCACACCTCCTGGAACCAATTAACAAGTACCAAAGTACCTCAGTACTAAAAATAACACTCCACAGAATTACCTTGAGAATTATCTCCCACGTTCCCCTAAAACCAGGGGTGGACTGCTCCAGGTTCAGACAATCCTCTAGCGAAGATTCTGCATGGTTCAGCAAATCCACAAATCCCACTCCTGGTTGCCCCCCCCCCCTTCCCAGGAGTCTCCATGCAGCCTGTTTTGGATGCCAAGTAAGTGCAGGGGCCATGTGGAAGTTCAGAGGGCGAAAAACAGTCCAAAAATGGACCCATTTCTGATCCCCAGGGAACCTCGGGAACCTAGGGGAGGCCATTTTTGCCTTCCCAGAAGCTCAGGAAAAGTCTCCAAAGCTTGGGGAGGGTGAAAAATGGGCCTTCTGGAAGTTCCGGAAGCCTCTGGAGCCTGGGGAGGGCAAAAACACCACCCTGCCATGGTGCAGGAGTCAACTAGACCAGTGATGGCGAATCTTTTTTGGCTGCCGTGCCAAAAGCGGGGGGAGCACAGGTTGTGTGTGCACCGGCGTGCCACACCCATGCGCATGACCCCCCCCACCCGCATGCATGAGTGCAACCAGCAATCCCCCCCCCTTTTGCCGCGGTTTTTTTTGCCCTCCCCAGGCGCCAGAGGCTTACTAGGAGCCTGGGGAGGACGAAAACAGTCTCCCCCCCCCCGGACACCCTCCCTGGAGGTCTCAGGAGCTTCCCTGAAGCCTCCGGAAGGCAAAAAATGGACCTACGAGCAAACCGGAAGTCTGTTCCCAAAGTTCCGGTTTGCCCATAGGGTTGGTTTTTCACGCTCCATAGGCTTCAGCTTCCGGAAGGTGAAAAACAGCCTCAAAAGAAGGCCAAAATCAGTGGGCCAGCCGCCCATGTGCAATGGCCAGCTGACAGGGCAACTCATTGCGTGCCCTGACAAATGGCCCCACATGCCACCTGTAGCACGCGTGTCATAGATTCATCATCATGGGGCTAGACCATGCCCACCATGGCCATGCCCACCCAGAAACCGGGCAGAGAACTGGTTGCTAACATTTTTGAAGCCCACCCCTGCCCAAAAAGCTCTTTGCATAATAGCATCCCTGTTTTCATCTATCCACACTAGCAACATAATGTGAGTACCATTTTTGCTCCGGTGAAGTGACGTGGTGTCATGGTCACTCTAACTGAGATGAACAGCCGGCCAATGCCAACTGGCGACTACCCGGAGGAGAGCCTTCTCTGTGGCTGCTCCGACCCTCTGGAACGAGCTCCCCGTGGAGATTCGAACCCTCACCACCCTCCAGGCCTTCCGCAAAGCCCTTAAAACCTGGCTGCTCCGACAGGCCTGGGGCTAAAGAGCTGTTGCCCCCCATCTCNTGCTTTTGAACTGCTAGATTGGCAGAACCTGGGACAAGTAATGGGAGCTCACTCGGTTACACAGCACTAGGGATTCAAACCGCCAAACTGCTGACCTTTCTTATCGACAAGCTCAGTGTCTTAGCCACTGAGCCACCACATTGCTGACCATGGGCATGGAAAATAGTTCTGGACTATCTTCCCTGTAGCTCTCCTTTATGTACCTGAACATGCCAATCAAATAGAAGTATAGAAAATGTTGTAGGGATCAAATGCAGTTATTGACATATGAAGAATGGCTGCAGGTTTCTGGGTCTGGCTAGCAGTCTAAAGAAAAGAAGAATTAAGGGTGACATGATAGCAGTATTTCAGTATTTGTGGGGCTGCCACAAAGAAGAGCGGGTCCAATTATTCTCCAAAGCAGCAGAGGGCAAGAGAAGACATAATGGTTGGAAATTAACCAAGGAGAGAAGCAACTTGGAATTAAGGAGAAACTTCCTAACAGTACGGACAATCAGTGGAATAGCCTTCAGAAGTTGTGGATGCTTCATCATTGGAAGTTTTAAAGAAGAGACTGGACAGCTACTTGTCTGAAATGGTATAGGTCTCCTGCTTGAGCAGGGGGCTGGACTAGAAGACCTCGAAGGTCCCTTCCAGATTCTATTCTATTCCTTATGCAAAACCAATAAGAAAATAGTCAGAAAATTCATGGCTAGAAATGTTTCTAAGAAAAATAAAGAGCATAACCTGTGATGTTAGAAGAAACATAAAGATCAGCTAATCCAAAAAGAGAAAAATAAAAACCAGAAACAAGAGATAATAAATGTATAATTCTTCCAGTCTATTTTTTGGGACCAGACTTCAGGTTCCAATTCAGATACTTTTCACCTATGGTCAGATATATTTGAGTCATCACAAGATCAAAAAGAGGAAATATGTAGCCCTTCTTTAATGGTTAATCCCAGCACCCATCATCATTGGCCCTGCTGAAAATTATAGTTCAGCAACATCTGGAAATTTCACAATTTGCAATATTTCGGGGAAGAAGGCTTAAACAACTTCCAAACAATGGAAATTTTCAAGACCCGGTTTCATATATCGTAATATATTTTTTACCTGGATATAGAAGGTCCTGTAGCTTGTTGTAATTTCGAAGAGATTATCCCTCATTAGAAGGTCACTTGAAAAAGAAAAAGAAAAGAAATATTAAGCTTAAACTTAATTGCATATACCAGGGACATTTTTTTCTGAATGCCAATTTCTCTGAAGAATTAATTCAATATTAACTGAACCTGGAATTGGTGACTTTGATTCAGATTGCTTCTGAGACTCTCGTTGGGATGATTCTTCAACTCAAGAAGCCCCAGAAGCAAAATGGAATGCCTTAATAAGACAAACAACATCCCACCTGCTTCTGTTTTTCCCCTCATGGGGGACAAGTCCAGGTACATGAACCGCAGTGGCGCAGTGGTTA